AGCCAAATCCCAATAATCCTATCGAGCTGACGACCTTTACATGTAGCATTCCACTCGAGAACAATTTTAGCAAAATTAGTTGATGGGCAATTTGAGGGTCGGGTATATTGGGTGGAAGCTGGTGGGATGCCATAACTGTTTCCGAATTCATGTCGAAGAAGAAGGGTTGAGCAGGGTTTTGTGTTTGGGAGTTGGATTGGTTTTGTTATTTCAAAGTAAGTGGTGGGTGGGATGCCGTTAGTGGCGGTGGTGGTGGGTTTGGAGGTGAGGTGTTGCTGGAAAATTACGGCTTTTGGAATGGGATTGGCAGCCGAGATTATGGAGAAAGAAAGGAGGAGGAAGAGGAGGATGAAAGGAAGGAAGGTGAAATCCATGAGAATGGTGATGATGGTGGTTGAGAAAGTGTGATTCTTGTGAAGATCGGTAGGAGTATCGTTGAGATATGAGATTTTGGAGGGCAAATTATTAAAAAATCAGTTTGTTAAAATGTCATTGTCTTTTGTTTTCAAAATCATGATTGTAGTTTTATCTTGTATCCTAAATCAAGATCGTATGGTTTTCAATTTAAAATGTCATTGTCTTCTAATCGCAACACTAGTAATTATATTTGCTATTACAAGTTAAGTAGAAACGTACGTCGTGATCGTGGACTAATTATATTTGGATTATGGATATATCTTGTTTTTTATGTTTTAAAGGTGTCCAAACCACATTGAACCGCATAACATGGTTTATAATTCGGCTGATATATAAGAATTGTTGTTAAAACTATTCTTATATAAAGAAATCAGGGAGGTAACAAAGACTGCGAGGCAAAGAAGCTACAACCTATATTGTGGTATTCTTATTTTCGGATGTCCTCTTTTAATTTCTTATTTTATTAGGATTTTTTTTTTATAAATACTCAACTTTACGGTGTTATCATACTTGTTCCTACTTGTTTTGTATTTTAACTATAGGTTCTTAATGGTTTACTTACAAAGGGTTTTAAGGCATTAAAAATCGATGGTGACTTAAAACCACACCAAATGTATACGGTTAAAAAAACCAAATTGCAACCGCATAAAAACCCAACAAAACGCACCGCTAAAATGTTCAGCTTTTTGCAATATGAGATGAAGGATTCCCATTGTACATTGGTACAAGGATGAAACTTTGGGTGAACTTCAAGCTTATAAAAGAAGTCTAATGTTTTGGTTTCAAAGCAATCCAAAAACATACAATTTTTTTTTTTTGTAAAATACGTTTTTGTATACATTTTTTTATAAAAACAGATTTGTATATATTTATATACTTAATAAATACATATTTTTACAACCAGATATTTCATATACAAAAAACTTTATAAAAAAAGTTTTTATATAGAAAATATATGATTTTGATTTGAAAATACGTTTTTTTTGTATACATATGATTTTATAAAGGAAAACATATTAGCAACAATTTTTTGAGAAAAAAAGTTGTAAAAAAAACTAAAATTACGATGAATTCATAATAAAATTCTAAAATTTGGGCAAAAAGGGTAAAGTTTCGACCAAATTTATAACAAAATTTAAAATCTGGGCCAAAAGTGTAAATTTTGGACCAAATTTGTAATAAAATTTGAAATC